AACAATAATTTAGCTTAACTAGTAAAAAAGGTCTACTTTGAGCCTTATGCTCTTTTAAGAACTATCTATATGGGATCAAATTGACAACAGCAACTTGAATGATTAGATAGGAAAACCTCAGGGGCCAGTGAGTTTATGTTAAGGAGGGAGGAACAACTCAGAAACGGAGGGTGAGAATGGTGCTAAACTCAAAGAATGTGACTGGTATTACTAAACTGTACACATAGAAACTGTTGAATTGATGTATGTTTTGCTGTGTACTCAACAACAAAGACAAAATAAATAAAATTTTGGGAAAAAAAAGATTCCAGCCTAGGAAGCCCCGTGGGGCGGTTGTACTCTCATACAGGATTGCTATGAGTCGGAATCGACTTGGCCAGCAAGCAAAGAGGGACGTGGAACGTAAATGTGCAAAATGCCTTGCTTTCTTTCTTCCCACTGATGGGAGGCAGGGCGTTATCTGAGGAAATATGAATTCCATGTCCTTGTAGGGGGATTTTAAGTGTTAGGTATCTTACAAGATTAGTTTGATGACCATAGCTTTATAGCTTTAACTTTGTATTAAAGCACAGTATAAATAAAGAAAAATGTACCTACCAAAAAAAAGCACATGACCCACTGAGATGCCCTCCCCACTCCTCACCCAGTACCAGGTGGCCGGGGCTGGACCTGGGATCTCCTTACACAAAGAGGGTGGCACCGCTGTTGGGATAACCTCGGATCAGCTCCACATTTTGGATGAAGTCTGCCCTCGGCACACACCTGTCCTTTGGGTGTGAACACTAACAAGCTCTTGGGGACCACCTGTCAGGTGGCCGGGCATAGAGAGATTAGAGAGGAGTCAGCCGGGCCCCCACCGCCACCACCAGGGGGCAGAGCAGGCCCAGAGATCTTGGGGCCCTCAGGGAAAGCTGCTCACCTGGGTGAGGCCTGCCCTCTCTGTCCTCCCTCTCTCTGTCTCTGTCTCTCTCTTTCCTCCCCCGACTCACTGCCCCCCTCCCCTCGCCACCCATCCTCAGACACACCAGGCGCATCCTGACCTCGCATGTGCACCAGACACCGTGTGGCCCCTACTTCACCACCCCTGTCGTTTTCTCAGAGGGCCGCTTCCCATGAGATCTTCCCAGGACCCCCTCATCCCCTTCCCCCCCAGCTCACAGCCTGAGTGCTGGGTGCCCCACAAGAGGCAGCTCCAGGCAGCGGGGCTCACTGCCCCCCTGTTCTCTGCTCTACCCCCCACTGCTCCCCCATCTCGGCACGGGGCAGCTAGAGGCCGCCACAAGTTCCTGAGTGAAGACAGGAGAAACAAGCTACAAGCAGGAGTG